CACAGCTGGTGGCCCAAGATGAGACGCCCCGCTCCCACAGCTGGTGGCCCAAGATGAGACGCCCCGCTCCCACAGCTGGTGGCCCAAGATGAGACGCCCCGCTCCCACAGCTGGTGGCCCAATGATGCGCTCCGCTCCCACAGCTGGTGGCCCAAGATGAGACGCCCCGCTCCCACAAAATACTGGCCCAAGATGAGACGCCCCGCTCCCACAGCTGGTGGCCCAAGATGAGACGCCCCGCTCCCACAGCTGGTGGCCCAAGATGATACTGACCAGAAATCCCGCTCCCCAAAATACTTTGGAAATCAACTGTTTACTTACTACTTCCCCCCCCCCCCCCCACCACACACACACACACACACACACACACACACACACACACACAGGAAGCAGCCCGTGATAGCTGACTAACTCCCAGGTACCTATTTACTGCTAGGTAACAGGGGCACTCAGGGTGAAAGAAACTTTGCCCTTTGTTTCTGCCTGGTGCGGGAATCGAAACCGCGCCACAGAATTACGAGTCCTGGGCGCTATCCACCAGGCCCCCAACATGTGTGTGTGTGTGAATGTATGTATGTATGTGTGTGTGTGTATGTATTATATATAGTTTGTATGTATGTCATACTGGACTGGGTATTCTGCACATCCTGCCATGCCTCCTGGTCTCATGTGGTGTTATTTCTGTGTGCAGGTTTTGGACCAGTCCCTCTACTCTTTTCCATGTGTAAATTATTATGTAACTCTCCCGCTTGCGCTTAAGAGAATATAGGTTTAGGCTCTTTAGTCGGTCCCAATAGTTAAGATGTTTTACTGAGTGGATTCTAGCAGTAAAGGATCTCTGCACGCTCTCCAGGTCAGCAATTTGTCCACCTTTGAAAGGGGCTGTCATTGTGCAGCAGTATACCAAGCAGTTCTTAAAATGGGACAACACCAAGTGATTTGAATAGTACAACTCTCGCACACTCACAGCTCCCTGACAAGAGGGAGCCAGCTTAGCTTAGCTGCCAACACCCACACATGGTGTCAGCAAGGCGGACAGCCCGCCTGCTTTCATACCTCTCACTATATTTCCCACTTCTAAACTTCCTTTCACCTATGCCTCTCCTTCCTCCTTTCCTTCCCCCCCCCTAAAAAAAAGGTGATGGGATCCCTGGTTTTGAAAGTTCTCGTAATCCATCCTTTCATTTTTCTGGCTGACGCAATATTTTCTTGGTTATGCTCTCTAAACTTTAGGTCGTCGGACATCATTATTCCCAAATCCTTGACATGCTGCTTTCCTTCTATGTGCAGATTTGATTATGTTTTGTACCCTGTATCATGTTTAAGACCCTCATTTTTACCGTACCTGAGGACCTGGAATTTATCACTGTTAAACATCATGTTATTGTCTGCTGCCCACTCGAAACTTTATTAATATCTGCTTGTAGTTTTTCAACGTCTTCAACAGAGGTAATTTTCATGCTGATTTTTGTGTCATCTGCAAAGGATGACACGAAGCTGTGACGTGTATTTGAGTCCATATCTGATATGAGAATAAGGAAAAGCAGTGGTGCAAGGACTGTACCCTAAGGTACAGTCCTCAGGGTACTGAGGACTGTATGGCTGGGTGGAGATCTGGTGGCCAGGGAACACATTGTCCAACATGTGCTCCCATACTAGTATATGGCTGGGTGGAGATCTGGTGGCCAGGGAACACATTGTCCAACATGTGCTCCCATACTAGTATATGGCTGGGTGGAGATCTGGTGGCCAGGGAACACATTGTCCAACATGTGCTCCCATACTAGTATATGGCTGGGTGGAGATCTGGTGGCCAGGGAACACATCCAACATGTACTAGTATATGGCTGGGTGGATCTGGTGGCCAGGGAACATACACTATACTGTATATGGCTGGGTGGAGATCTGGTGGCCAGGGAACTGTTGCCACTCCTTGCTAGCACACCATCCAGTACTAGTTAATCTGCTACACTAATGCTAGAGTTAAATATTTTTCTGTGATAGTTAATCAAATCAAATATTTAATCAGAAATGGTAAGAAATGGTAGTGCATTTATAATGTAGTTAGATTACACTAAGTTTCAATTAAGAGCCTAACGGTAAAAGGAGAACGCAGTTATACACACTTGCGTACGAACCTTGACCTTACTCACACAACATAAATACTTGCACGTAATATATCCATAAAGTCTTAGGGAAGTAAGTGGGCTACCCTGTACCTGGGGCCACCGAGGAGAACACTCACATTCCCTCGTTATTATGGTCATAAAACACAAAGCATGAAACAGTGTACACGTGTGTGCGTGTGAGGCCCTGGGCAGGTGGTCCAGTCAGGGGATTATGTCATCAAGTGGTGATGTATGAACAGCACAACCCGTGACTTGTCAACCATCGCGCCTCTCACCTATGTTGTCCTCAACCAAGCAGCATATCACAGTGGATCTTCCTTCCGCTACATTAGCTCTGTAGCGACTTTTGATAATTGGCTCAACCAAGCTATAGTTCTATTCTCTATTCCAACCTTCTTTCCTTCTCACTCTATAAGACCCTTCCCGAGTTCCTGACGTCTCATTGTCCTCTTCACCCTTCCCCACCAGCACCATTGTACAAATTATGAACTTTTGAAAACAGAATGTTTAACTTTTGAATTATAAAGAGCATAACAAAATGAGAAATAGTAACCATAAACCAAGCCCGTCCTAGGCTTAAATAAGTAATTCTATAACATATGTAATCTTAGTCCTGATTAAATAAATAATAAATAAATATATATATATATATATATATATATATATATATATATATATATATATATATATATATATAAATACACATACATATCCACAATAGGCCAAGAACTATTAGTCGATTCAACTGTTTACCTCTTTCTCGGGACCTTTACATTATAAATTGCACATTTTTCTTGGGGGGGGGGGGATACGACCGGAGGGATTTCAAGTGAATATGTTGCACTGCCACAGTCACTATGAGTAATGTCACTTTTAGATGACAGGTGGTCATATTATTAGGGTTGAAACCTAAACTAAAAAAAACGTAGAGGGAGGACTGGCGAGGTAGCCACCTGGGCTGCGGATTTTAGTTCAAAACATCTGGAAGAGTTTAAAATATTTTATTTAATATGGGCCAACTTTGCTATTTCTATTTAATTTGTTTATATATATATATATATATATATATATATATATATATATATATACTCCTTTTTTGTAACAAAGTTCAAATAAAGTAAATATATATGTGTACATACAAAAGAATGGGGGTGGTAGGAGAAGATAATATTAGTGTTCAGTGAGAAACCACAAGGTCTCCTCTGAATACTTTTTATTTTCTTCTCCGAGGCTATGGGTCCCCACATTGGCACCAGAGGTGGTACCCTCACTAACTTTTATATATATATATATATATATATATATATATATATATATATATATATATATATATATATATATATATATATATATATATATATATATATATATAATGTCGTACCTAGTAGCCAGAACGCACTTCTCAGCCTACTATGCAAGGCCCGATTTGCCTAATAAGCCAAGTTTTCCTGAATTAATATATTTTCTCTAATTTTTTTCTTATGAAATGATAAAGCTACCCATTTCATTACGTATGAGGTCAATTTTTTATAATTGGAGTTGAAATTAACGTAGATATATGACCGAACCTAACCAACCCTACCTAACCTAACCTAATCTATCTTTATAGGTTAGGTTAGGTTAGGTAGCTGAAAAAGTTAGGTTAGATTAGGTAGGTTAGGTAGTCGAAAAATAATTAATTCAATAAAACTTGGCTTATTAGGCAAATCGGGCCTTGCATAGTAGGCAGAGAAGTGCGTTCTGGCTACTAGGTACATGATATATATATATATATATATATATATATATATATATATATATATATATATATATATATATATATATATATATATATATATGTCGTACCTAGTAGCCAGAACGCACTTCTCAGCCTACTATGCAAGGCCCGATTTGCCTAATAAGCCAAGTTTTCATGAATTAATTGTTTTTCGACTACCTAACCTACCTAACCTAACCTAACCTAACTTTTTCGGCTACCTAACCAAACCTAACCTATAGAGATAGGTTAGGTTAGGTTAGGTAGGGTTGGTTAGGTTCGGTCATATATCTACGTTAATTTTAACTCCAATAAAAAAAAATTGACCTCATACATAATGAAATGGGTAGCTTTATCATTTCATAAGAAAAAAATTAGAAAAAATATATTAATTCAGGAAAATTTGGCTTATTAGGCAAATCGGGCCATGCATAGTAGGCCAAAAAGTGAGTTCTGGCTACTAGGTACGACATATATATATATATATATATATATATATATATATATATATATATATATATATATATATATATATATATATATATATTGATTAAATATTTAAAAACCCAACCCAGCCCGGAATAGGTTAAAAAACATTATCAAGCTTACACGGTAAAGCTGAATAGGACATTCCTCCTTGGTCCGATTTCTGGGGCCTGACGGCTTAGTGTACAGCCTTAGGTAGTCCTAAGGTTCCGGGTTCTATTTCCGGAGGCGGCAGAAACAAATGGGAAGAGTTTCTTTTACCCTGATGCACCTGTTCACCTAGCAGTAAATAGTACCTGGGAGTTAGACAGCTGCTACGGGCTGCTTTCTGGAGATGTGTAACAAAAAGGAGGCCTGATAAAGGACCGGGCCGCGGTGACGCTAAGCCCCGAAATCATCTCAAGATTGGCCTACAAACAATAACCTTACAAGCAATTACTTAAAAAAAAATCTAGGTCTCGTTTTCTCAACACACACTAAATAAAGCGAAAAAATGAAGGTCCCCCAAAGTAAACAATATCCACACACCCGCCTAAAACAGCTGTCTTTCATCAGGCAGCACAAGCACAGTCTAACATTCAACACACACACGGCCAGAACTCAAATCACGAGAACATATATACTTTATGCTAAAAATACCCGGCGCGGTCAAGGCTGCGTCGATGTCTTCCATTGTTCAGGAAACACGAGTCCGAAGACTCAGTGTGCACACAGCCTGGTCCTGTGCACACACAGCCTGGTCCGGTGCACACACAGCCTGGTCCGGTGCACACACAGCCTGGTCCTGTGCACACGCAGCCTGGTCCGGTGCACACGCAGCCTGGTCCGGTGCACACGCAGCCTGGTCCGGTGCACACGCAGCATGGTCCGGTGCACACGCAGCATGGTCCGGTGCACACGCAGCATGGTCCGGTGCACACGCAGCCTGGTCCGGTGCACACGCAGCCTGGTCCGGTGCACACGCAGCCTGGTCCGGTGCACACGCAGCCTGGTCCGGTGCACACGCAGCCTGGTCCGGTGCACACGCAGCCTGGTCCGGTGCACACGCAGCCTGGTCCGGTGCACACGCAGCCTGGTCCGGTGCACACGCAGCCTGGTCCGGTGCACACGCAGCCTGGTCCGGTGCACACGCAGCCTGGTCCGGTGCACACGCAGCCTGGTCCGGTGCACACGCAGCCTGGTCCTGTGCACACGCAGCCTGGTCCTGTGCACACGCAGCCTGGTCCTGTGCACACGCAGCCTGGTCCTGTGCACACGCAGCCTGGTCCTGTGCACACGCAGCCTGGTCCTGTGCACACGCAGCCTGGTCCTGTGCACACGCAGCCTGGTCCTGTGCACACGCAGCCTGGTCCTGTGCACACGCAGCCTGGTCCTGTGCACACGCAGCCTGGTCCTGTGCACACGCAGCCTGGTCCTGTGCACACGCAGCCTGGTCCTGTGCACACGCAGCCTGGTCCTGTGCACACGCAGCCTGGTCCTGTGCACACGCAGCCTGGTCCTGTGCACACGCAGCCTGGTCCTGTGCACACGCAGCCTGGTCCTGTGCACACGCAGCCTGGTCCTGTGCACACGCAGCCTGGTCCTGTGCACACGCAGCCTGGTCCTGCACACGCAGCCTGGTCCTGTGCACACGCAGCCTGGTCCTGTGCACACGCAGCCTGGTCCTGTGCACACGCAGCCTGCAGCCTGGTCCTGTGCACACGCAGCCTGGTCCTGTGCACACGCAGCCTGGTCCTGTGCACACGCAGCCTGGTCCTGTGCACACGCAGCCTGGTCCTGTGCACACGCAGCCTGGTCCTGTGCACACGCAGCCTGGTCCTGTGCACACGCAGCCTGGTCCTGTGCACACGCAGCCTGGTCCTGTGCACACGCAGCCTGGTCCTGTGCACACGCAGCCTGGTCCTGTGCACACGCAGCCTGGTCCTGTGCACACGCAGCCTGGTCCTGTGCACACGCAGCCTGGTCCTGTGCACACGCAGCCTGGTCCTGTGCACACGCAGCCTGGTCCTGTGCACACGCAGCCTGGTCCTGTGCACACGCAGCCTGGTCCTGTGCACACGCAGCCTGGTCCTGTGCACACGCAGCCTGGTCCTGTGCACACGCAGCCTGGTCCTGTGCACACGCAGCCTGGTCCTGTGCACACGCAGCCTGGTCCTGTGCACACGCAGCCTGGTCCTGTGCACACGCAGCCTGGTCCTGTGCACACGCAGCCTGGTCCTGTGCACACGCAGCCTGGTCCTGTGCACACGCAGCCTGGTCCTGTGCACACGCAGCCTGGTCCTGTGCACACGCAGCCTGGTCCTGTGCACACGCAGCCTGGTCCTGTGCACACGCAGCCTGGTCCTGTGCACACGCAGCCTGGTCCTGTGCACACGCAGCCTGGTCCTGTGCACACGCAGCCTGGTCCTGTGCACACGCAGCCTGGTCCTGTGCACACGCAGCCTGGTCCTGTGCACACGCAGCCTGGTCCTGTGCACACGCAGCCTGGTCCTGTGCACACGCAGCCTGGTCCTGTGCACACGCAGCCTGGTCCTGTGCACACGCAGCCTGGTCCTGTGCACACGCAGCCTGGTCCTGTGCACACGCAGCCTGGTCCTGTGCACACGCAGCCTGGTCCTGTGCACACGCAGCCTGGTCCTGTGCACACGCAGCCTGGTCCTGTGCACACGCAGCCTGGTCCTGTGCACACGCAGCCTGGTCCTGTGCACACGCAGCCTGGTCCTGTGCACACGCAGCCTGGTCCTGTGCACACGCAGCCTGGTCCTGTGCACACGCAGCCTGGTCCTGTGCACACGCAGCCTGGTCCTGTGCACACACAGCCTGGTCCTGTGCACACACAGCCTGGTCCTGTGCACACACAGCCTGGTCCTGTGCACACACAGCCTGGTCCTGTGCACACAGCCTGGTCCTGTGCACAGTTAAGTGCAGAAGGCCTATTGGCCAATACGAGGCAGCTCATATATATAACAACCCAATCCCACTCATATACATGTCCAACCCACGCTTGAAACAATCAAGGGACCCCACCTCCACCTCGTTATACGAAAATTGGTCCTGTGTAACACAGCCTAGTTATCTTGAGGTTACCTTGAGCTGATTTCGGGGCTCAGCGACCCAGCGACCCAGTCGTCGACCAGGCCTCCTCGTTGCTGGACCGGTCAACCGGACTGTTGGACGCGGCTGCTTGCAGCCTGATGTAGGAGTCACAGCCTGGTTGATAAGATATGCTTTGGAGGTGTTTATCAAGTTCTCTCTTGAGCACTGTGAGGGGTCGGCCAGTTATGCCCCTTATGTGTGTATGTATATATATATTATATAATTACATTTAAATTAGATATATTAGAATTATTACATCTAAACTACTGGGACCGATTAAATAGCCTAAATATGTATTCTCTTGAGCGCAGGCGGGAGAGATACATAATAATCTATACGTGGAAAATATTAGAGGGGCTGGTCCCAAACCTGCACACAGAAATAACATCACATGAGACCGGAAGGCATGGCAGGATGTGCAGAATATCACCGTTGAAAAGCAGAGGTGCAACTGGTACTCTGAGAGAGAACTCTATCAACATCAGAGGTCCGAGACAGTTCAACACGCTTCCACTAAATATAAGGGGCATAACTGGCCGACCCCTCAGTGTTCAAGAGAGAACTGGATAAGCACATCTAAAGGATACCTGATCAACCAGGCTGTGATTCATACGTCAGGCTGCGAGCAGCCGCGTCCAACAGCCTGGTTGACCAGTCCAGCAACGAAGAGGCCTAGTCGACGACCGGGCCACGGGACGCTAAGCCCCGGAAAAACTCCAAGGTAACTATTTGTAGTGGAAGCGTGTTGAACAGTCTCGGGCCTCTGATGTTGATAGTTCTCTCTCACAGTACCTGTTGCACCTCTGCTTTTCAACGGTGATATTCTGCACATCCTGCCATGTCTTCTGGTCTCATGTGATGTTATTTCTGTGTGCAGGTTTGGGACCAGCCCCTCTACTATTTTCCATGTGTAAATTATTATTTATCTCTCCCGCCTGCGCTCAAGAGAATACAGATTTAGACTATTTAGTTGGTCCCAATAGTTTAGATGCTTTATTGAGTGGATTCTAGCAGTAAATTATCTCTGCACGCTCTCCAGGTCAGCAATTTCTCCAGCTTTGAAAGGGGTTGTCATTGTGCAGCAGTGTGTCAGGAAACCGACACACACACACACACACACACAAATAACACAGTCTCCCCTAGTCTGTACTCCCTTCAGGATGGAAAATGGGAGACTCCGTGACGTCATGGAAGTCATTGTATATTTACATTATGAAACATTGTTAATAGATTAGTTTAGTATCTAGAGTTAACAAAAAAGTATTCAATAAGACTGAATATAATTATTTACACAGTATAGTAGCTAGGTTCCCTTGTTAATGTAAAATTACTTTGAGTGAGGAACCAGAGCATAAGGGCGTTGCCCCGAGTGGGCAGGAAGGCGTCCACATACACAACAACAACAACCAGGGATCAGCCTGCCACGCTGTCTTGGTTAACTGGTGTAAACAACTAGACACCCCATTTACGTGTCAACACCAGCAACACAGCCTAACAACATCACAACAACGACTGTATCTGTCTACCAAGTATTGTTTATTATTCTAGTGCACTGTTTAATATTTTAATGGGTAGATGGTTAGGTCGTGGGAGAAACCCAAAAACACCGTACGTGTACCCCATTACAACCCTCACAGTTCATGTCATACCTGTAATTGATATGTTTAGGGAACTTTGATTAATTCCTTGCATCCCATACAGGTAAATTGTGTGAGGAGCAGCAAGAATCTGTGCAGACAGTTGGTTCATACACATAATTAACTACTTGTTTGCCAAGCCTTGTCCTTCCCACTAGCCGCCATTACGTGGCACCAGGAGGCACAGGGCCACACCCAATCTGAGGCTACACCTACACGCCTTACTAGGCCCATTCTACTGGCACAGCTAAGACATTATATTAGTAGTAGTAGTCATAATTAATTATTATATTAGTAGTTTAGACCACCATATGTGGTACACTGTATATTGAAATAACTGAAATAATAGATTTAAAGGTAAACAATTGGTAGTTTAAGAAGGAGCCATAACAAAGTGGTTTAGGCTACCAATTGTCCCTCCCAATAGTGTGTAAGAAGATTTCAGGCAGTTTACCAGTACATACAGTCCACTTAATTAATTCTTACTTACTAAGAAAATAAATAAGACATAACTTTATTTTATTAAGTCAATTTGAAAAAGAGAGAATAGCTGCCTGGAATTTCCCCACAGGCCTCTGCCTTATTTCTTCCTTTATGGCATGGTGTTATTTTTATTGTTTTTAGTATATCAGGGATCTTGGCTATGTCTTCTAAGAATGAAGGGCCTGCGATAGTGTTATTTTTACAGTTCTTGATGAATATAGAGTTCTAAGAATCAGGTTGTAACGGTCTGTTGCAAAGACCAAGCATCTCCCCTTCCCTCGTTCGTCTTCCCCTCTTCCCCGTTGCCTCATCTCCCCTTCCCCCACTAGCCTTATGCCAGGCGAGACAAGTGTCACGTCCCTTGTCTTGGATGGGACAGGTTCGAACATATTTCATCCGTTTCTGTAAACATTGCTCACTGCGGGCCAGGTCTGGCGTTTGTCACCCACTATAGACAGGCCTTGTTCCTCCTGGCTTTTTTTTTTTTTATTAATACATGAGGTACATCTGCATTAGTGCAGCTACCCTAGACTATATTAAGTGGAGTACAGTGTGTCAAAAAAGCTAACTAGGTGATGCTAAAAAATCCCCATCACACAGGATGGTTGCCGGGTAGAGTTGACTCGACTTTATGAGAATTTCATGTACCTTTCAAGCAGACTTGGAAGGTGATTGGCTGTAGATAGGTGCCAAGCCCTTATTGGTCCTTGAGGGCCAGACCTCAGGCCTAGTTTTAAAATGGTTAACTGTTGCAAAAACATAATGGGAGGAGCCCAGGAGCTGTATTAGTTGTGGGAGGAGCTATCCTCCACTGGTAAGCTTGTGAGCATACTTTAGTCAGTGTCCTGGAAGTGTTTTGGGGTGTGAACTCGGTCAGGCATCAAGGGCCTGAGGGAGAGAGCCATTCAACATCAACATCTGTGGCCGGTAATTGCAGGATAAGGTAATGTGCTCTCGAGTACTCATGTTCAATCAGTGATGTACCATTTGCCTTGTAGGACTTAATTACAGCTAGGATATATATATATATATATATATATATATATATATATATATATATATATATATATATATTTATTATTTATATATATATATATATATATATATATGTCGTACCTAGTAGCCAGAACGCACTTCTCAGCCTACTATGCAAGGCCCGATTTGCCTAATAAGCCAAGTTTTACTGAATTAATATATTTTCTCTAATTTTTTTCTTATAAAATGATAAAGCTACCCATTTCATTATGTATGAGGTCAATTTTTTTTTATTTGAGTTAAAATTAACGTAGATATATGACCGAACCTAACCAACCCTACCTAACCTATCTTTATAGGTTAGGTTAGGTAGCAGAAAAAGTTAGGTTAGGTTAGGTAGTTTAGGTAGTCGAAAAAACATTAATTCATGAAAACTTGGCTTATTAGGCAAATCGGGCCATGCATAGTAGGCAGAGAAGTGCATTCTGGCTACTAGGTACGACATATATGTGTGTGTATATATATATATATATATATATATATATATATAAACGTGTCCTTTGTTAAATAAAATTTTATATATTAATGCATTTTAGGAGTTTAAATATTTTCCCTCCCTTTTTGTTTTTATTCGGAGTCGTTAAATGTTTTGTTTACATGCTGTACTGGAAGTCCCCTATGTTCTCCATTTAATGGATATTAATTTAAAGTTGCCTTTGAATCTAAATAGGTAAAGTAAGGATTTCTATAATTAACCCCCAAGCATTATTGCCAAGATTCCTACGCTCTTCGAGTTCATATTTATTAACTCATGTCCTTCCTGGGAGATCCGTAATGCAGGAACATTTAGGTTTCAGGTTCAGGAAGGTGGTGGCAACTGTAAGTATCATTCATGTATTACATCATAACCCTTTCTTTGTAGCTTCCCCCATTTAATGTTTCAGTTTACCAGTTAGCTGGGAGTTCAGTGAGGGTCACAGTGAACTTGCAAGCAGTGTTAAGCTGGGGTTTTAAGTGAGAAAGACAAGTAGGTGGTGTTACAAGGGCCTGGTGTAGAGTGCATAGGCATACTGTTTATGGCTTCTTCAAAATTCAGTGGGGATAGGGTGACATCTGATATGTGATTTGATGTTGGTATCATATCCATGAAAAATTCATTTGGGTTATCAATCTTCAATGTGTTTAGTGGCTCGCTGAAAACAGAGTCGTACTGATTCCTCAGTATCTCACTTATTTGTTTGTTGCCATCGGTGTTCCATCTCCCTTTCGCAGGGGCCCGATACTAGATGTGGTTTTTATCTTGATTTTGCATAGGAGAGAAAATATTTCGGATTTCTCTCTATTTCACTGACGGCCTTTTGCTCTCTTTGCCTCTCCTGGGTTTTGTATGATTCTTGTAGCTTCCGTTCAATTGTTTCTATTTCTCTACCTGATCTTCGCCGTTCTTGAGATAGGGTGCGACTCTCAAGTTGTTCCACGATTCGTTTTCTTCGCCTATATAGGGAACGACGTTCCCGTTTCAATCTGCGTCTCTTCCTCTTTTTGATTAGGGATATGTAGTTTGAACATATTTTTAGTGCTACTGATCTTATTTTTTCCAGGCACTGGTTCAGGTTTACATTTTCTAGCTGTTCATCCCAGTATTTTTCTGTGAAGTCTTGGTTTAATTGCTCCCAGTTTATCTGTTTATTATTGAAGTTGAATTTGCTGAAATCTCCTCCACAGGGAACCGGGATTGGTTTTGAAAGTCTATTCCCCATG